TTGCAGGGCAGCTGTCCAGGAATGCCCGCTGCAGCCCCTGGCCCATGCTGGCCCTTGGCAGGCTGTGCACACAGTAGCCAAGGGGGATGTGTAGGGGCAGCTGTGCTGGGTTACCTGCACAGACGGCTTGGCCCCGCCCATGTGCCACTGAGTCCCCACAGTGCCAAGGCCATCATGGGGGGCGAGAGGAAAAACAAGAGGGACTTTCCTCATCCTGCGAAGCATTTTACCTTTTTCAGAAGGGAGTGCGTCCATCAAGCGTGAGGCTGCTCCATGTTTGCACCACCCAGTCCTGACTTCCTGTCCCTCCTCTCCCCTCTCCCCCAGCAACATGTCCGATGCCCTGGCCAACGCAGTGTGCCAGCGCTGCCAGGCCCGCTTCGCCCCCGCTGAGCGCATTGTCAACAGCAACGGGGAGCTGTACCACGAGCACTGCTTCGTGTGCGCCCAGTGCTTCCGGCCGTTCCCTGAGGGGCTCTTCTATGAGGTGAGGATGCTCCTGGGGCAGTGGGCACCAGGGACCCTCGGCCAGGCCACCTTCTCAGCCTCAGCTCAGCGCCTGCCCTCTAGGAGCCTGTGGACTGGGCTCAGGGCTCTGGTCCTGACCAGTGATGGGGCCAGGCCTTGAGCTAGGACAGAACCATGCTTGACACGCCTGGATGGCCCATCCCTCACCTGTGAAATGTGAACAGTGCGCCCTGGTTACCATGGGTGCTACAGGACAGTCACCCTGCTCCAGCCTCCTCTGGTCTGTCGCTGGGCAGGCCCTGGGGCTAGGAAGACCCTGCCCCCGTGGCACTTGCCTCCATTGGGATCAGACAGTAGACAGTGACTGCATGGTCTATCAGATGGTGCTGACTCTCTGGTAATAAGGAATCTTAGGGTAGGAGGTAGGTGGTCAGGGAAGGTAATTTTTGAGCAGACCTGGAGGGGAGGGACCCGTGCTTATATCTGCAGAAAGAGCACTCAGCAGGGGGCACAGTACATGCAAAGGCCCTGCGGTGGGAACGTGTGGGAGCGTGCGGGAGTGTTTGGGGAGCGGCAGGGAGGCTGGTGTGATGGAAGTAGAGGGAATGAGGGGGAGAGTGGCAAGAGAGGAGGGCAAGGAGGCCTGTCCTGCTCAGTGCTATAGGGCCTTAGGCTTCTGCTCTGTGAGAGACAGGAGCCGCTCCAGGGTGTGGAGCAGAGGAATCATACCCTCTCCCTGACGTTTGAAAAGGACCCCTCTGTAAGGGGGGCAGTGACAGAAGCTGGAAGACTAGGGGTACAGGAACTGGATTACTGCCATCATCCAGACGAAAGTGAAGGGGCCTGGACTGGCCCGTGCCAGCTCAGGTAGGCCAGTCTTCAACCGTCTTGCAAGCTGTTTGTTAAACATGGCTATTATTAAAAATTAAATTAGATAAATGTACAATGAGGTAAAATTTTATTAAAAACAAAGGTAACAAACACTTGAAACTTGCCACTTCCTACTTACTTTGTCACATTTTACTATCATCTATACTTCTGAGGCTATTTCTGTCCCTGTACCTGTGTGGTGGCTGCTATATGTCTCTTCTGAACACCATGGCGATGTCATGTTGGCAGCTTGAAATTGGCAGTGGTGGGAATATTTACTCCATAGAAACTGGCAGACACTACACATCAGGGCTCCCTTCCCCGCCACAGAGAGGTGGATATTAAACCTTTACCAGCACAGCACTGGTAGTCGCAGTGGAGCTGGTGACTTGGGTCAGATGCTGCACTGTTTGACGTAGAGCTGGTGGGACTCACTGGCTGGTGGATGGCCGTGGCTGTGTGGTCCGCCTGGCAGAGTAGGGGCAGCTGTTCCTCATGGTGCCTTCCAGCCTCCTGAGAAACGGGAGGGGTGGCCATGAGCCTGGCGCACGGGAGGCGCTCAGGAGATAGTTGCTGCTGAATGAATTTATGCCTGCCCTGCCTCGACAGATCACCGGGACAGATCACCGGGGAGGGCTACATACAGTTGCAGCCTAATAAGGCACTGATTTTAGAGAAAAGGGAAGAAACAAATTTTTAAAAAAGAAAATAAAAATGTGAAGGGAGAGGAAGGCAGAGGCAGGTTTGGCCGCTCTTGGGGCCAGTGCAGGGCCCACGCGCTGCCCCTGCTGGCCACAGGCCTTGGTGCTCTCCCTTGGGCCCGCCCCACGAGGCCCTTCCTGTGCTCCCTTCCTTCTGTCTCTCTCCCTGGGTCTTTCGTGTCCCCTGGGGGAGCTAGACTTCTCACACAGAGCAGACACAGGAAATAGGGCAAAGTGACACATATAACTCAGCATGATCTCATCCCTCGGGCTTCAACTCCCACCCGCACCCGGCCTGCTCTCAGGCCCAAGAGGACAAGGTCCGTAGCATCCAGCGAGGCCCCTCACTTTGCATCTGCCACATGGAGTGGGCCGATCCCCTCTGGTTGCCAGGCCTGGGAGCTGCTGCTGCTGCTCCAGCCTCTGTCTCAAAAGCCTTCCTCTCAGCACACCGTCCCCACTGTCAGGTCCTGACCCGACAAAAGCCAGGGCAGCTCATGGGAATGATGGGTGGTTTGCTTGTCCTCTCTCTATGGCCCCATTTGCAGTTCGAAGGCCGGAAGTACTGTGAACACGACTTCCAAATGCTGTTTGCTCCGTGCTGTGCATCCTGCGGTAAGGGCGGCCTCGGCTCACAGCCTGTGCTTCCCGGGAAGTGGGTGGGAGGGTAGGGGACTGCCTGGCACAGGGGGGTCTTTCCCAACACCCCCTACCCCTATGCCATCTCTTTGAGCTGTCACCTTCAGGCCCCCTGCAGGGGGAGGGGGCCCTTGGGCCAGTCTGAGAGCAGGAGCAGCGCCAGTGTGGGCTGGGCGTGGGAGGGCGTGAGGGAGGAAGCCACGCGCCCTGCCCTGGCAACAGGGACTGTTCCCCTTCCAGGCGAGTTCATCATCGGCCGCGTCATCAAGGCCATGAACAACAACTGGCACCCAGGGTGCTTCCGCTGTGAGCTGTGTGATGTGGAGCTGGCCGACCTGGGCTTCGTGAAGAATGCGGGCAGGTGAGGAGGCGCACTCTGGGTGGAGGGGGACCTGCCATGGCACCACTTGCTGAGTGCCAGGCACATTCCAGGCTCTGAGCCGGTACTGACGTGGCTGCCCACCCGCTGCGTCCCTGCAGGCCGATAGTACAAGCCCCGGTTTACAGGTGAGGACGGGGGCTGGAGAGAGCGAGGGGTGAGTCAGGGCCCCCAGGCTCAGGGGTGCTCCTCGCTGACAGCGAGTCACAAGGAGGAGGGCGCTGAGCAGGTGCCATTAGATGCAGCAGATGGACCGGGAGCTTTGAGTTGAGCTAATCCCCCCAGACCACCCCACCCTGCTGACCCCAATTGTCCACCTTCCCCACCTGTAGCCACATGGCCGGGTGTGCTGGAAAGAAAACAGTCGACCAGGTGACCTGAATTTACTCTAAATTTAGGACCATGAACCTCAGGGTGCTCAGGAAGTTCCCACCTTCCAAGAAGCCTCGAAGCCTCGCTCCCTTCTCCTCTTCCCCTCCTCCTGCCACTGTCCTCTACACCCAGCCCAATAGTGTGGCCTTGCCCCCACCTCCCCGGGGACAAGCTCTGGGGTGCCCCTGCCCCAGCACATGCACACGCTTCCCACTGTCTCTGTCTGTGGGGTCCGTGGCCCGGTTCGCCCTTGTGCCTCTCCAAGGCTCCCTTCTCCACCCCTCTCTCAGCCTTTCTAAAGGGCCAGCCTGGGCAGCTTCCTCCTGCTGGCATCTCTGCAGCCCTTCCTGGCACACCTGCTGGCCCTTCCCATGTGCTCTCACTGCTCAGTCTGCTCGGGGACCCAGGTCCTCCCCTGGACCTCTCAGCAGTTCTATTGCAGCACCCTCCTCCTGGTGGAAATGCCCCCATCTCCTGGTGCCTAGGACCTCATGTTCTTGGGGTGCCTCTGGCCTCCAGTTGCACCCGCCACACTCTTCTTCTGGCTCACCTTTCTCCACCTGGCTCTCCATGGGGGGGTTTGGGTTTCTTTTTCTTTTTTTTTTTTTTAAGATGACCGGTAAGGGGATCTCAACCCTTGGCTTGCTGTTGTCAGCACCACGCTCAGCCAGTGAGCGAACCGGCCATCCCTATATAGGATCCGAACCCATGGCCTTGGTGTTATCAGCACTGCACTCTCCCGAGTGAGCCACGGGCCGGCCCTGGGGGTCTGGGTTTCTGTGCCTGCCCTCATGACTGCCTTTGCAGGGTGCCAGAGCCCTAAATAGCATGCATGTCTGGATAGCGCAGAGGCCCACCCATCCTCTCCCTTGCTGCACTCAACCACCCATGAGCCACCTCCACCTGGTGTCCACCAGGCATCCCCAGAACAGTGGTTCCATGTCAGGAAAAGGCAGCAGTGCTGCCCAGAGGCTTTCTTGCTGTCCCTGACATCCACACCCTCTCCTGTCTGGATGCTCCGTTCCCTGTTGTGGCTCCTCTGTTGTTCCTTCCTGACACAGCCTTCAGTGCCCTTGTCCACATGCTGCTCCACAAGAAAGGCACATGGCCCCATGGCCTCCTGGAGTCTGCAGGGCCGGCACGGTGCCTGGCACTCAGCAGTTGTCTAAGCAAGGGACTGTGGGAGAGACAGTGCATGGAGGGGCCAAGGAACAGTGCTCATCGAGGGGTGGGGGGTCCCCGACCAGGTGTGTACCTGGAGTGAGTCCTGTCCCCTTCCTGAGCCAAGTGCAGGGCCACTGCACATTGGCTGGTTGGGAAAATCAGGAAGAGGCCCAAATGCTTTGGAACATAAAACATGACAAAAGAAAAGTGTTGTGGTTATGCCAGGGGCCAGGGCAGCCACCAGGGATCCCAGGCTGGCACTTGGAACCCCACCATGCAGAACATCAGAGTCCTTGTGGGGCAGACATGCTATGGGGCTGCCAGGATCACCGTGAGAGAACCATGCTGCTGGAGCCTCTGCTGCCTGCACCACCACTTTGCCATCCTTGGATCAAAGCGGGTAGACATTCTGGAAAGGATGTTACATTGATGAAACACAATAACCTCTGTAGTCTTAAAGCTACAGTTATGCTTATGATCAGTACAAACAATAACAAAAAAAGGGCGTGTTAGGCTGATACACTCACGCTGTCAAGAGAATCAGCTCACAGCTGGGCTGGCAGGGCTGGTGGAGGCCTCTCGGGAGGGAGTGGGGCCCAGGACACCTCTGCCTGCTCTGGGTTAGTGAGAGACAGGTTCACACACCTGGCTCCAGCCTGAAGTTGGCTCCTGTGGCTGTCCACCCACACCGGGTGCTTGACCATGGCTTGGGAGGGCCTGGGCACCTGCTGAGAAGCCCTTGGGATTGTCAGGCCACACGCAGGTCTGTGTGGGTTTATAGCAGGAGGGACCAGAGCTGAGCTGATGTGTCCCTGCTGGTGCAACCAGCCTGTAATGTACTCACAGCCGTCAGCTGTAATTTATAGTCCATGTCCTTTAAATTCATCAGTGATTCTCTGGCAAAGATGCCACAAAGGGAACTCAAAGCACCTTGCACTTTAAAGGAAATCTTTAGACAGCTCCCCCTCCACCCCTCCACCAAGATTCAGGCGTGTCTCTTCTGGATCACTGGCAGCCTGCCTTCCGGGTCTTTCTGCAGAGTTTGCCACTGTGCTTTCCCATAGTGGGAAGGAGACTGGGAGTCTCTCGGGGAAAGAAAGACCCTCATTGTTCAGGAATTGTTCCTCTGGCCTCCTTGTTCCCCCTTACCCCGGGTGAGGTCACTGTGTCTCTAGGAGCCTTGGTAAGCAGGGCCCATGTGGTGTCTGCAGAGGGTGCCTGTTGATCCCTGCTGTTAGGTCTCCCTTTGTAGGGTTTGCACATTGGTGGAGACTGAGCACAGCACTGGGCAACCTGGGAGTCAGAGCTTGGAGGGAGGGGTAGGGCCACTGCGATCTCAGGTTATTGCTCAGGAGGCTGGGGGAAGGCAAACCGCCCTTGTCCAGTCTGGGTGGCAGGCACCCTGGCGAGTCGTCCTTTCCAGGCAGTCTGGGCCCTCCAGGGTGGCTCCTGCTGCTCACAGCTCGGACCTGGCGCTCAGCGAGCTCTCGTTGGTTTTCCCTTCGAGGCTGGGGGGTGGGCCCGTGAGCCTCCTGCCACAGAGCAAGTTGCACAGGGCGTGGCGGAACTTCTCGGCCACGAAGAAGTACATGACCGGGTCGAGGGCCCCGTTGAGGCTGGTGAGGCAGGAGGTGATGCGGTTCCCCAGGGCCAGGACACGCTGCGTGGCGCAGGAGGTCCCGCCACCGCGGTAGTGCAGCACGTAGACCGAGCGGTTGACATGGTAGGGCACGAAGCAGACCAGGAAGATGGCAAGCACCATGGCGGTCATGCGGACGGCTTTGTTCTTGAGACGCTTCTCCACGCGGGGGCCCTGCCGCAGGCTGCGGATGATCAGCAGGTAGCAGGTGACCGTGGTGACAAATGGGAAGGTGAAGGCCACAGCCAGGGACACGAGGGCGTGGTGGGAAGCCTTCTCCCGGTACAGCTGCAGGCAGACAACTGTGTGGTTGGTCTGCACCGTCTGCGGGCTCACCAGCAGCGGGGCCATGGCCACAGCCACCACCACCCACAGGAAGGCACAGGCCAGGTGAGCGTAGAGGGGCCGACGGAGCTTGAGGGACTTGACCGGGTGCACGATGGCCAGGAAGCGGTCAGCGCTGATGCAGGTGAGGAAGTAGATGCTGGCGTACATGTTGAGGTAGAAGAGGAAGCCAGTGAGTCGGCATGGGATTTCCCCGAATGGCCAGTGGTTCCCGGAGAAGTGGTAGACGAGGCGGGTGGGCAGGACCAGCACGCAGGACAAGTCGGCCACAGCCAGGTGCAGAAGGAACACGTTGGCCGGGGTGCCTGACTTGTGGTCCCGGATGAAGAGCCACAGGGCCAGGGCGTTGCCAACAAACGCCAGGATGAAATCCAGGAGGTAGAAGGAGGCGAACAGCACGTTCTCCAGCGGCGTCTCCTGGCCACATTGCTCTGTGGCAGCCAGGGAGGAGTTGGCGGTCAGACTTGGGGAGGCCAGCTCCAGGCTGCTCATGCTTTGGCTGGAGGAAGAGCCGGGGACGAGCCTGGAGGGAACGAGCAAACAGGTCAGGGACAGCCTGGGACGGTGAAGCTCCACGCTCTCCAGAAGTCCGAAGTAAGAGCTCTGATGCCTTCAGAAGCCCCCACCCCTGACTCAAGAGGAACGGAGCTGTCCCAAGCCCAGCACTCCTTCTGGGACTACTGAGGGGACCCACTGTGTCCATTTGGGGGTGGGTGAGCATTCAGCAAAAGGCAAAAACAGAACCGGGGCTTGGAGCTTCTCCACTGAGCAGCTGTGACCCTACTGAGCACGTGAGGGCAGGAGCCCTGCACCAGGTGATCAAGAAATCTGGAGCTCGTCCCTGCACTGTTTCTCCGTGCATCCCTCAGAGGTGGGAGGATGGAGTCGGCACCACGGAGGGGAGCAGGATGTGAGCCCATCTGCAGGAGGCTCTGGGTGGTGGGAGGGCCGAGGAAGGGCCCCACGTTTTCTGTTCTGCCCCCCAGTTGAGCTGTCTGAATGACAGGGGGTGGCACATGGGGCCCCTGAGTCCCACTCCTGATGGGTGGGATCTATTCCTGAGAGCCCGGTGCTTGGAGCTCTCCAGCTCCTCTTCTGCCTCAGCCTTGCCAAGTGAACCCTGCTACCCCCGAGTCCCAGGACTCTCCCTGACGCACCTGCCCCATCCTTCCAGGTACTTCTCACAATTGCAGTGACCAGTGTGGCACCACTTTCCACTGCCCACCCCCTGGCCGTCCCCTGACCCTGGCTGCCCCCAGCACCCAACACACAGGAAGGCAGTGAGGGCCTGTCCTGGGAAGTCAGAGCGTGCTCAGTCCACCAGTGTCTGAGAGTCCCAGGTCTCTCTTGGGAGCTTTCTGGACTCGGCCCACCTACTCCATGTGGACATCCTGACAGGTGCAGACCTGTATTTAGGAAAGCCCTGTGCCTGGGCCTCAGGCCACAAGGGAGTATTTTCCCACCCCTAGCCGTTAAGCAAACAGGAGATGGAGTCTTTTTGGTGTGTGTGGGGTGGGGGTGGGGGGTGTGTGTGGAGGGGAATAGCTGGTTAACCCAGAGGCAAAGATCGGCAGCCCCAGAGATGCTGCCTGGTTTGCCCATCGCTGAGGACTGACTCAGAGCCCTGCTGGCCTTGGTAACAAGCTGTTCACGTCTGGCGAACCCCGGATCTGGGCAGGATGCCCTCCATCCCTCCCCAGCAGACAGAGAAACTGACTCCTGTTTTGATTTTAGACAACATGAGAGGTCCAAAAGGAGAGGGGTCCCAAAAACCCTGCCTTCCTCACCCGGGCCTGAGAGTGGGGGCCGTGGGCAGGAGAGGGCAGGTGGCAGAGCCAGAGCAGCCTGGCACTGGGCAGGATACCAGGCCTGGCTGGGGAGGCTGCTGCCCTCCCTGCCTTCTCATCCCTGCAGTTGCTAACGGACTTCAGCCTGGCAGACACTCAGCTTCTGGGGCTTCT